AAAGGAAGACAAGTTCTCAAAAATTAGTTCCATATTCACTGAGATATGCTCAGTCTGCTATGGGAATCTCCAACATGTTAGTGCTTGATCCTACCTTTCCCCAACATCTCTTCAAATTTCCGCAGGAGAATGAGGTAACAGGCACACAAAAATGATTGAACTCTTCCTTTTTGTGCTATCCCTCATAAATCACCTTTGTTTGCATAAGACCCAAGGCAAAGTCTATTGAAATCAGTATAAGGTTTTTTCTTTTGGATCAAGTCCATTATCTGTGTTTCTCCTGTTTCTTTCTCTTTTGGCTGAAATGTCACATCTCACTTAAGCATAGAAGGGTGGCCAACAGAAGAGATGGAGCCAGCTACAGGAGTGTCATGAGAATACATGAATGAGATATGTATATTCATAGAAAGATTCATTTTAAAACAGAGTAGCAGAGCGAAGACACATCAGTTGCTCTTGCACACTGATAATTTACACATTTTACACATTATTACTTTGCTGTTCTACAGCAAAAAATGTAGTTACTATAGCAACTGGTTCGTCATATGACCAGGATTCTATTTTTAATATCACTCAAAGGTACATATTAACATGCATAATATACGGACTACTTATGGGGGCTGAAAACATATATTTTAACATTTTAAACCTTAAAAGAGACAATCCTTGCTAGTTTCTTTTAGTATCTGCATTTTTTTATTAGGTTATCTATCTAAAGGCTCACAAAGAGTGGCGGAATAGAACTGTCATTACAGCTCCTAGTGAACTCGTGCAGTTTTCTCCTTTGTGGTACAGGAGACCAGAGGTATCAACGAAGTTCAGAGCTCCTGCCAAGGTCAAGAAGACATCTTAAAGCATCAGTTTCTTCTCTCAGTCTAACATATAAAGTGTTTCAGTAAAGATGTTGTCCATCTGCAACAGACACAAATAAACCATTTCCCTCTTAGAGAGCTCCTAGAGTCCCTTGCACAAGAGGGCTGATATGACACCTTTCTCCCTGCTGTTAAACAGAATTTATCAAATCATGGATTTTCAGTCCAGTGATAAAAATGACTGTAGAAGAGGATGTTTAGGGGAAAAAAAACATTTTAGAAAAGGTGTGGGAGTGGGTTGCACAGTTTTTCTTCTTTTCTCATTTGACTTTAATGCTGACAAATTTTTGGTGATGTGGATATGAGGAGGACTCTTACTGAATTTGAAACTCCCATTCTGGGACCAGAATACCCATACAGTCATTTACTGCAGCAGCCAGGGAATATACTCACAGCAGAGCTTCTCAGGTTGCACCACTTTACAGTTTGTTTTGGAGGCCAATGCAAAGCACTCCTATTGCTCTATTGAGCCTTAAACTACTTAAGATTGTAACTGGTTGGGGAGGGGGAGGGCTCCCAATTCAAATTATTTCAACCTTTTTACTCCCTGTGGAGACTTAACATGCTGTCAAGCCCCCTCTGACTCCAGCTGACAGCAAACTTAGATGGTTTCTACTCCAATATATAGTTTTAACCTTACAGATCCCTTAACACAGAACTCCATCTATACCATGCCCTATAGCCTTCAGCAAAGTTGTCCACATTGCAGTTCTGAGCTCTCAAAGGTAACCTTGAAGTATAACTCAGATTCTTGCATGCTATGGGAGGCTTATAGGAATCAGTCTGTGTGCCACTGACTTATGGGTAGCAGAGAGAGGCGACAGATGCAGAGCTGCCAGAAGTCAGGAAGGAGGACTTTTGGTATTGCTCCTGCACGTCTGAACCCAGGGAATCAGGTCAGTCCTCAACATCCTGCAGAAAAAAAGTGCATCTGTCTCTCAGCACGTTCATGTCATCCATGGAGCCTTCAGTTTGTGGTTGATGCTGCAACTGACGTTCACTGGCTGTGTGACTGTGTTGCTGGTTGTCTGGTGTGGCTAAAATTATTCTCACATTGACCCAAACTTGAGTACCAAAGGACGGTGTCTCTCTCCTGATGTCATATTGCTGCAGCAAGTGACTTCCAGGGTGCTCAACAGTATTTTTCACAGGAAAAGACATACAAACAGCCTTTTCAAAGAGCCCAAATGAAATTATCCCCTTGCCTGACTAAAAAAAATTGGTCCAAAAGCCAGCATCCCAAAACTTTTGGGATCACAAAGAGTGTTGCAGTCAAAGAAGGTTTGTCCTACTCAGTGGCTAACTGGTTTCGACAAGTGAAAAAGACCTTGCATTAGATGGCAGCTCTGATATCTTGGCATGAGGAATTTGTATGCAATTATTTGTACAGGAGGAGAGAATCATGAAGAATGCCTGATACAAATCCCAGTAAATAAATCAAAACTGCTATCACATGAAGCTTTGTTTCCATTACTTTGCTATTATCATGGTATACAACAGAAAGCTTCATTATCTATTTACATCAACGCCCTCACAGGCCAGAATGCTTTTTTGCTTTCTGTTGCCATTATGTTGTATTATGTGTGGCAATGCCATAGCAACCCAGGATAACACAAGTAGTGTAGGGCAACAGTGTAATATTTTCTGGCTTTTGTTTTGAATGAGACAGAACACATCTACCCACTCTATGCAAGCTATACACAAATACCAAAGATTTAGCACAATAAGTAGCAATTAGCAAACCAACAGTACTTATTGCAAGCCAGCATTTGTCTCCCTTGTGTTCTAAAAGTTTAAAATCACTGAAGGGCACCACTACAGCATCTCAAAGGGCTGAGCAGCACACACAGAAGTGTAGTTCATAGGTTTGGTATATGTTACCATCCACTGATACATGTTTGATGTAATTGAACATAGGTACGAGATGTCTGGGCATCCGTGTTGTATCCATCCCATCTGAACTGGGCCAGGTCTTCATTTAATAGTCTAAAGGCTGAGGATACCTTAGGATATGTTTATTTGGCAAGCACCACAGCAGTGCTATTTGTAAGAGAACTCGTTGAGAATAGCTAATCAATATGTTCAGGCAGAGTGAAATGACATGTTCAAATATGTTCAGAGTGAGTGAAATTTTTAGTCACCTGAGACAATGAGTTCAGTGTCTTCTCTGAAACATTCACTGATTACCATGCCATTACCTTGTGTGAATAATATGTTTGGGCAATCAGGCACAAAAAAAGTATAGAAAGTATGATCAGCCAAAGTACCAAACTTTCCTCCTGCTTGTTTTACAGAAATCTCTCTGATACCCTGAGGATGACATAATCTGCTAGAGCTCAGCTTTTCAATATATTGGAATGTTCACCACAGATTGTCCATTGCTAGTGGTTTGGTTTTGTGTCTTCTATCTAAAAATGGCATACAGTTCACACAAGCAATATACATTCATGTAGTAGATCACTTTGCATTAATTTTACTGCTTTTTCCCCCCTTCATCATGAGAGGGTTTTTTCCTGTGCTGAACAAACTTAGTTGCATTGGACAGGGATCAGATGACAACCATTTTGCAAACTCTGACTTATAGATGTGCACAGAAACTAGACATCTAAAAAGATTTAAATATGCTTTTATAAGCTACAATAAACATGGTCAGACATGCCAATGAACAGAGTTAAAACTAATATACCATTAGAATTAATATTAAGCACTGCTGAGGTTGACTTAGATAGCTACTGAGCTGATATTCAGATGTTTGGGTGGAAGCAAGAAGCATATTTAGGCAAACAGGGAATGACTGAAAAAGCTTCTTAACCCAAAATACAGAAGTATGCAAATGTGCCCAGGAACCTAACTTACATAGATGCCAAAGCTTTACTGACTTCTTTACTTTACTGTGTGTAAGAGTGGATGAGATTCAATGAAAAAGAAATGCTCTGGGAGGCAGACAAGGAAAATTTGGTTAGTGCCAGAATTAGGATTGCAGTGAGCCTCAGTGGAAAAGCCCATGCCATGGAAAAACCATGCCCAAGTGGAAAAGCCATGGAGCCAAGGGTGCTGTCCTGGACAGGCTTAAAGATACAGATAAGAGAAGGCAAAGTAGAGCCCCTAAACAATCTGGAGTAATTTGATCTTCCTCTGTCTATGGAACAGTACATTGATATTTTCTTGTAAGCAGAAGTAAATGTACACACCTGACTAATATGACTCTTTCCTTAACTGGTGTGATCTGTAAAATGTTCAAACTACTGGATAGTTCCTTAAGAATGGAAATACAGTTTATAAATATAGTTGAGTCACGAGATTATTTCACAACCATTTAAATACTGCTCATTTTCACAGTGCAGATGAAGCCAGAGTTAATTAGCACTAGTCACTGGAGAGAGCAGTAACTCACCTAATTTTTTTTTTCTTTGCTTTTGCTAAATGAATTGCAATTACTCCCCCAGTAATACTGTGATAACGAAGTTTAATACATATAAAAAGTATTAACAGCATCAACAATGCATCATGGGAGAGTAGTAACTAAAGGACAAATTGAGTGAATATTTTTTGTTCAAATATGAAATAAAAAAAATTCTGAATAAAGATGGGTACTTTCAACATGGTTTTCATGGTTTTCTTTCAACCCTGAAAGACTGTAGAGATTAAAAATAAGAAATCTTAAATAAGCATTAAATATTTTTATAATTACATATATCTGCATTATTTTATACAGATGTTTACAATTGGGAAGGCAACATTAGAACAACCAAAGGTCTTTTCTATGTATAAGCAAGCAGGGCCACATGTTCAGGAAACTGAATAAAACCTATTTATTGTCCCTGCAGGTTTGAGGTTTGGGGATTTTTTTTCCTTATTTCTGGTATGTCATCTTAATGCAGTTTGCTAGCAGAGGTTAAAAATATCCTAGTTCCATCCAATCAAGTATTAATAATACTGTTAAAGAATCAGATATCAAACATTGCTGATGAGATCCCAATAGTCATGGGAATGGCTAAATCTGTCCGTGGCAGTACAGTATGGACAAGACTGTACAAGATCCAGGGTTTTCATTATAGTCTCTAGAAAACAGTCAGTAATGCCACCACTGTCCTCCAGATCAAGCTGGAAAATGAAAATAGTCTTGCAGATCACTCATCATTAAATTTTAATATGTCATGAAAAGACAGGTTGTTCTATTTAGCTCAACATGAAAAACAAGTCTCTCAAAAACCCTACTGTAGGTAAAAGCTGAAGTTTACAGGATAAAAAATGCTTTAGATTTGTAACTGTTTTGCATTATATAGCGTTTTGTTTTCCAAAGGACTGAGTTAGAGAGAGATGCTGTAAAAATCCAGATATGCTGCCAGCAATTAGGCAGTTGGGTGACCTAGAAATCTTCTCCATTACACTTGTGTTTGCTTGCCAGTTCTTCATGTTCTGTCCTCAAAGACTGTTTTGTTTTTGTTTACACAGCTCTTCTAGGCAGAATGAGTAAACCCTTTTTTTCCCCCTCATTTTCCAGGTTTCACTGATACAGTATTGGCTTCTCCATTTAGAGGCTTTGGATGGGCATTTCAGAATATTTGGTTTGACCAGAAATCAATTCTCGTGTCACCTAAAAGAAAATATCTTTTTAGAGCTGAACCTATTTGGAACTATCAGTCAGACAAAATTGACAATAAGGGTTACATGTGGTTTAGAAAAAGAGATCTAGATGTAAACCTTAGTTAATCTGAGACAGCATAAGTAGGGCACCTGCTAAAAGGAAATTCCCTGTGGGAAAAAAAAAACACCTTTCCCAAAAATATCCTAAATTTCCCATTTCCCTCCTTCCTTCTACCACTACATTTCCACTGCAGGTGTCACATCCGTTCTGCTGAGATATTTATAATCCCCCCATTCAAAGCTCTCCTTTGGGGGTGTCAGGCTCAGCAAGGAAACAAGGCAATGGGAGCTCTCAAAGGAGCAGCAATTTTATTTGTTGCCTGAAATATTTTGGCAGAGAATCATTAAGCATGCATGGGAGGAGCTTAGGAAACTGCCTGAGATGTTTGTGTTCACTTCTGCTCAAACTGTCCAAGTGTGTGGTCCTCACTGAAGACAACAGTTCAAAACTCAGTAATTTACCTTGCTTCTTGGGATAGCAAAGATTAAAAATGTACATTTTTGACATATGGAGCACTTTTTCACTTGTCATTGTCTGAAATGAAAACAAAACAAAAAGGAAATTATGTGGTTAATTTCTAATTTTCAGAATAACTATTTTCCTTTGGGTAGGGTCTAATCATAGTGTGTTCAGAGTAAGGGGAGAAAGTTTCAGAAACTTATAACTTCCAAACATATTCAAAAAACACATTTATTTGTCTCTAGATATACAGATATTAAAGAAAACTGTAAAAAGAAATACTTACTAAAAGTAGAGATATAAATATAGCAGAGGAAATATAACTTTAAACAATTATAAAAAGCAGAACTTGTATAGCAAATTTCACTGCAAGATCTTCAAAATATATTAAAGATTAAAAAGCTTAATATTTCAGTTGCAGTATGTTCTTACATTGAATATTCAGAAACTTTAAAATAAAGGTTCTACTACTTAGAATAATATACACAATAAAAAGTAGTGCAATGTTGCTGCAGTAAGTTAACACCTCCATTACCAGAGCTTTCAATTTAACATATTTTGTTAAAGTAAAGTAAGCTTTTATAGCCACCTGGAGCAATCACCAGAATTACCAGAAAAATCAGAACAGGTTTTTTGACATTAGATTTTTCAGTTCAAAGCACTTCTCATAGGTATGTAAATGTCCACTATTGAACATATTCAGCTTCTGCTCCAAAACGCTCTGAACTTCATTCTCTGCTTTGAAAATTTCTGCAAGTTTGAGAGGAAATGAAAATAAGCTATTTCACATTTTTGAACTGGAATCAATTTTATTTTGTAGCAGGTTAAAATTAAATACTCTAAAGATAGTCCTTAGTTTGCCACAAACAACCTACATGACTATATTCAAGCCACTGAGTCTATTTTTCAGTGTTCCTATAGATAGTAAAAGATACTTTTATACTTGCCAACTGAAGTCTTTGTGCATATACTTAGCTATCATCTCACAGTTCTTCTGAAATCTATGAAAACCTGGAAAGACGCTGAATCCATAAATGTTAACTATCCATCTCCTTTTGCATCCATTTTCAAAAGGCACACAATCCACATCCAAAAAACTTTAGTCTGGAAACAGGACATGCTCTAGGCACAAGTTTTAGGGGAACTTGTAAATGGACTATAAATTTTACAGCACATAAGAAGCAGAAGCCTGCAAATACCAGGCAGACACCTGCTTAGTTTAAGACCAAAATAATTTTTTTTTAATTTACAAATGTGATCTTTCACATTGCTGTGTGTACCTCCAAGAGATATGAGTGCAACCCCTGCTCCCAGCACAACTGAGCAGGCATCCATCCATCCATCCATCCATCCATCCATCCATCCATCCATCCCTACCAGCAGGGCCCAACCTGTGCAAGCTGCCTTCTTCCACACGAGGGATGTGCTCTGCTTTGGAGCAGTTCATCACCTGGATAAATAATGTGGCTGTTTGTTCTGTCAGCTAAAAAGCTATCGCTGTATCACCTGTATCACTGACATGCCACTGAAGATGTCAGGAGCCAGGCCATTTCCCTGTGCTGAAGTGGTTTTCCTTTTATTGCCAGGCCTATAACGAGATTATTGAAATGATTCAACAATAGTCAAGCTGCAGCTATAGATACTTGTTGAAAGTAAATAATAAAAGCATTTTATCAGAATTGCTGTCATTTTCCTGTTGAAGGATACATCTGTTTCATAAGTACATTTTTATGTGTGCCTGCCTTATGTGAACCTGCTCTAATTTAGTTACACTGATAGGTACAGTTGTAGCTTTCTTTCTAACAATATTAACAGATGAATAGGGCAGTCATTTTCAGACAGCAATTTGCCATGGCTACAGTCAAAGTGGATTGGATTGAGATTGCAACCTAGCAAGAACTAGGATTTTATTATTATTGTTGCAGTCACTTTCCTGTTAGGTTGGCTTTTTTCTTTATTTATATTTTCCTTTTTCTTCTTTTCTTTTTAAGCAGGCTACTTGTTTGGTATGCATTAATTTTAGACAAAAATCCATTGCAAGGAAAAGTAAATGGGGGTCAAAAACATTCTTCTGAGAAAACCAGTGGTAAAGTGCAGCCTGCAGATAGGAAAAGGTACAGACTGCATCAACTTTCTTAGTCCCAAGTAATGCCCAGAAATGCAAATCCTGATCACTCAATGCAGCTGTCTGACAGACATGCAAACAGTCAGGGAGATTCTTAGCAGATGACAGCTAAGGAGAACTGCAAAGCAAGTGGCTGCAACATTACATTTCTGAGGAGAGGAATCTGTACCTGTACTTGGAGACGCAGGGAAAATGCCTGCAGTTTTGAAAAACAAGTGCTTTTGTACTCTAAGCTGTCCACTTGATAAGTCTAGATGTTGTTGTTCATAATAGCAATCCCACAAACCCTGCCCAAGCACCTTAAGGTAACTAACCTCCTACCCAGAAGCACTTGTCCACCTTTGCTGCCAAGAATCGACCACTTTCAACCAGGTTTAACTGACAATGGTCTGAAACATTTGAAGTTCCACCCAGGAGTCAGTAACTTTACAGAGGAAAGACACCTGAACCAACCTAAAGAAGTGGGGCTCAAGATGACAGGTTCCCCTTTCTGCTTGATTTCCTGGCTAGCTAGCCAAAACACTACCAAGTGTCCTGGTACCCCTGTGTGGTGAGGCACAATGAGAAAGATGAGCATAACGAAAACTATTTTATTGTTAAACAAATAATTTGTTCTTCCTGGGCTCAGAGGCTGTATTTATTGGAAATTAAAATGAGACAATAAACAGTAAGATAAAACAAACACTGAATTGACAGCCTTCCAGCATACAAATTTCCACTGTTATGAGTTAACAGACATCAGTGTTTAAATTAAAATACTTCTCTCTAATTTTCTATATGCCTATTCTTAGCTAGAAAAATCCATGTAGTGGGGAATTCTGTTGAAGCCCTTTCCTTTAATTTGCAAGGAAAGAAGAAGAGCCCAGTCAGCCTCCAGAGACAGTGGATTCTGAACAATATTGCAACTTGGCAATAATGAAATCCTTTCATCCTCTTTAATGTTTGCACCTGACAGTTAAATTCAGAAACTCTCAATTACTGGAAGCTAGGAATATCAAAGTGTGCTTCAATATTGATTGCCACCATCACTCCAAGAATATCTATTGGAAGGAATGTGGGCATAGGCTGCCCATCTCCTCTTCTGCTCCCAAGAGATATGGGGCAGTAAAACCTTGCATGGTGAAAGAAATTGCATCGTTGCAAAGCTAGCTTGGACTGTGTCAGAATTTTTTTTTATCAGCTTTTATTTTTCAATACCCTTTCATTTGCTTAGAAAAATACTGTTTTCCCTCACATTTATCTCCATCCTCTTCTCCTTTTAAATAATTTCAGAAGGAGGAGTTTAAACAAACAGCCCTGAGGGAACACCTAAGTCAAAGGTTACCTTCAGGGGTATTTTCTCTAAATTTCTTCCTGTAAAAATATGCGGTGGGAACGAGTTATCTATCCCACAACAGAGAGGAAGGGAGAGCTGCAGCTGCATGAGCTCAGAGACCTGGCATGATGCAGGCTCTAGAGGAACCCCCCCCAGCAAACCCCACTCCAGAGAACCGAGGAAGAAATGAGCTCCTCCCTGCTCCTGGGAGTCCTGCCTCTGCTTGACTTCACAGGAGCTGGCAGGAGCACTGATGGGAGCTTCCACAGAGCCAGAACTCCTCTCCAGGATATGAGATTCAGCACAGCGCTGTTAAACACATCCTGAAAATCTGCCACATCTCATGAAAAAAAGAATTGGAGGTGGTTTCCCCTTCTCCTCTGCAGAGAGCAAAGCTCCTCACAGTGTTTGTATTACATCCAAATATCTTCTTCAAACAAAATATTTCCCTTGTGAAGCAGCACAGCCAAAAACCTGGAGGAAACCTTGGTACAACTTTTCCTCTGAGATGACAGTCCTTGCTGGGAAAAATAAGAGCGTAATTCTGTGACTGGGGAAGACATCCACGTCAGCAGTGTGGGGTGTTAGACTAAGAAAGGGAAAATACAGTTGAAATGCTATTGTTTCTAAAATAAAATCTGATCTCTTTGCTTGTTGGCTCTTTTTAAAGGACTGAAGACACATTCAAATTTTTTATGTATACACGTGTAGGTAAATAGTTGATTTATATAAATACATTATGTATGTGAGGCATTAAAAGCCAAACTAATTGTGGAAGTTTTTTTTATTTTACCCAGAAAAAATATATAAAGATCCTTGAGGGTAGGACATTTTTCTTCTCAGTCATACAAAGATCAGCACAAGGAATCCTGGATAATACCAGAGGTTCCTGGACAGCACAGTTGCATAAAAGGTTGGTTACCTTTCTTGTCCCATTGCATTATTTGCTATCACTTGTGTTGATAAAGATATGCCCATCTTTTACCTCTTAGTTACTTCTCAAAGCTTCGCTGCTCTTGCATTTGAAAAGAAAATTTCAGTAAACCAGTAAAAAGAAAATTTCAGTAAACCAGCACAGATAATTTGCTGTGTTTTAGAGACCCAACTTAACAGGGCTCTCTGTTTATGGTTGTTGTACCAAAAGCTGCTTGTTGTCCTTGCCTAACTAAAGTGATCACACTGAAAAGACAAATTTTGAAGCTTTCTACCTCTCTTCTAAGTCATCTGGCCTGTGGGCTGCAGAACCAGCAAAGTCTTGTCCTGAACATTACTTCCCAGCATCCCACACTTCCATCCTTCCACTTCACATCCAGCATAGGTCTCCCCACAATACCTTCGGCTCCTCCTTCAAGTCCTCCCACTTGCTGGGTCTCATCCCCATCAGGCAGACAAATCAGTAGTAGCTGGTGTGGTGGCTTTTTGTGGAACAGGCATCCAGCAGTGTGTTGAGGAAAACACATCTGTTCCTCCGCTGGTGCAGCTACACAGCACACAGCTGCTGGGCTCGTGCTGCAGACGCACACTCAGATGAGGAATTAATTTTGGCTATCCTCTTCTATCCTTCTATTCTATCTTAGTAAGTTTTCACTGATTTGGTACATTCATGTCTTTGAAGTCAGTTTTGGTGGAAAGTGG